ATATCAATCTAATCTAATCTATCCCCTGTAGGAAAAAAATTATGTTTCTTACGCGGAATTGAAAAATCATGCAGTCAAAGGATATATATTTCCATGAATTCGTCGAACAAAAACTAAATTTCCTCTGGACGTACCTTTTTGTACTTATCGATCCTAATTGAATTAATACTTCACTCACATGGTAGACGACATCATCATTCTATGAGGCGAGCTTCTACAACCATGATAAAAAAAACCATACACCAAAAAATGTTATAGTTTTCAGTTTCGATGTTATATGCTAATCTTATTCATCTCTAGGAATGTATATGTCAGTTGAAATTGCAAATCATGCAGTTCTACGATTTCCAAGAAAACTACATTGATTATTCCCCTCATGTATAAAATGTCTCTTAAGAGCAATGCAATTATCGAATTACAAATATGGTTCAACAGGAATGATTAGTAAAACAAAGTTGTATATATACAACAAAAGATATTGCTTAAAATGAGAATGAGAGTTAGTGAATTCGTTTTTTTTATTATTTTTTCCATTTTAGTGATCCCCTGTAGGAAAAAAATTATGTTTCTTACGCGGAATTAAAAAATCATGCAGTCAAAGGATATATATTTCCATGAATTCGTCGAACAAAACTCATTGTTCTCTGGACGTACCTTTTTGTACTTATCGATCCTAATTGAATTAATGCTTCACTCACATGGTAGACGACATCATCATTCTATGAGGCGAGCTTCTACAACCATGATAAAAAAAACCATACACCAAAAATGTTATTGTTTACAGTTTCGGTGTTAGTTGCTAATCTTATCCATCTCTAGGAATGTATATGTCAGTTGAAATTTCAGATCATGCAGTTCTACGATTTCCTAGAAAACTACATTGATTATTCCCCTCATGTATAAAATGTCTCTCAAGAGCAATGCAATTATCGAATTACAAATATGGTTCAACAGGAATGATTAGTAATACAAAGTTGTATATATACAACGAAAGATATTTCTTAAAATGAGAATGAGAGTTAGTGAATTCGTTTTTTTTATTATTTTTTCCATTTTAGTGATCCCCTGTAGGAAAAAAATTATGTTTCTTACGCGGAATTAAAAAATCATGCAGTCAAAGGATATATATTTCCATGAATTCGTCGAACAAAAACTCATTTTCCTCTGGACGTACCTTTTTGTACTGATCGATCCTAATTGAATTAATACTTAACTCACATGGTAGACGACATCATAATTCTATGAGGCGAGCTTCTACAACCATGATAAAAAAAACCATACATCACCAAAAATGTTATTGTTTATAGGTTCGATGTAAGTTGCTAATCTTATCCATCTCTAGGAATGTATATGTAATAAGTTGAAAGTGCAGATCATGCAGTTCGTTCGCCATAACAACAAATTCGAAACCATGTCGCTAAACGCCAGTTAACAATACAAACTGATGCCAGATAGACTTCAGGAAGTATATCTTCAGCTTATGCTAAGAAGTCCTACAATACAAATGAAGAGGTTATATTGAATTTCTTTCAAATTATTGGATAGAAAGAGTTTCTCAAGGGGTCAAACCCCAAACATAGAATATCAAATTATGGAGGGCGATGAGGCCAAACAATTAGAAACCAACTTTCTTTAAGGAACATGAGAAACTTTCACTGCTTCCAGAACGCCATCTTGTACAAGACACTCCACAGACCATGGCACGAGATGTCTCAACATGTCAAACCATCAGCTGTCAGAGGTCAAACGTCAGTAAAGACACAAAACACTGTCCATACTGATCTATACTGATATTATGAAGAGGAGAGATTTGTTAACTTGTTTGTTCGTATGAGCAGAGATTATACACTCCAACTACTCCGAAACTACAGAACCCCTTCAAAAAATGCGATCAGCATCAGAAGCCGACCCTTGATGAACATGGGCTAAATTTTATCGCGGTAAAATACCTCAATCTTACGGGAAAACACAAAATAGGGCAATGGATAGTAAGAATTATCCTTCCTTGGATTGAAATTCCATATGGATATTTTGATGGTTACCTGGATGCTTTAAAAATACAATTGGACGCGGTCAACTACTAATCGGCTTGACCGTTTTGGTTGAAATTTTCAATACGTAAAATAATGAAAAAATACGAAAGAAACTGATATTATGTAGATAAGGGGAAGGATATGGAAGTAGCTATAGCCAATGACAAGAAATTAAGAGAAATAACAAGAAAATAATATGTACTATATATTTCCGCCCCGGCTTCTAACGACGGAAAGGGCAAGAAAAGATAGGTAGGACTGAATGTATTTGGTGTTTTCGCATAAAACTTATTCACCTATCAGCTTGAGTCAAATATAGAGATTTCAATAATGAGGAGACACAACATTTTGAAAATAATAATTTGTTATTTGTTTCAAATGAAAAACAATGTTGCCACATATCTACAGTTCAATGTTTACACATAACAGAAAATAAAAAATCATAGAATTTTTTTTTCCGCGTTTAATTATTTTTCTAGCTAGAGAATGATCATTTCTCGACTCTCCTGATGCATTCTTGGAAATAATGATAAAATAAAGCAGTGTGTACGTACACTTTGGGTTTGATATCCCAAATCGTTGTGATTGTCAAGTTTGTCACTTTGTATACTTTTGTTCTTTGTTGTACCATTATTCTTTGATAAAAGTTATTGCTTATTCAATGACACAAATTCGATAATAATGAACATGATGTATGTCTGTGGATTCAACGTTATACTTATTTCGGAATGGACATTGCACTGAAAAAAAAATTGAGTGAAATTTCACTCAAGGTCCACGCAATAATGAGTCAATTTCGGTCCACGCTTGATTGAGTTGAAATTGCACCCTACTCGACTGTGTAAAATGGTAATTCATGACCCGATTCTATCAAATTTGTTATAAACATTCTCATTGATATGAGAACTTGATGAAATATCTAGTTTGAGTTGAGAATTCACTCAAAAATGTCAATCAGTAAATTCACTCACAACCACATATGCATTCACTCAGAGGAATTTTCTACAGTGTGTTCATCATTTCCATAATTGTTGTTTCAAATGTAGTACAATAAGCAAGAAGGATGTTATGATAATTTCATGATAATGTTCTCACACATACAAATTAGTCACAAAAATAGTTTGTCCCAAATATGTCCTCCCGTTTTCAATGGGATTCAAAAATTTACCATCCGGGACCACAAATCATTTTGTTTTCAAATTTTGTGCAATCCCATTATTGGAACCTCTAGATTTGACTCAAGTTGATAGGTTGAAAAGGTTCGACTCAAAACCTTTACTTATTAATTTTTTCAAGGCCGGCCCTGGAATGAGACTTTGATTATTATGTCAATCGTCCACACTGTGGACAAGGAACATACAAAATAATCATCAAAAAAATTGATATGATGGTTCATAAGTTATGATCGATTGAAAATATGAGGGAAATTAATAAGTCACCCTGTATCTTGGTTATAAATAATGATAGACCCATGAAATATGAATGGGCTTATATCACAAAAAAAAATTATTTCATAATTCGATAGAACTCACCCAAACCAAAACCGTTTCTTGCTGTGAGCTACCTATGTTTTATAAAAAATTATTGAAATCCCCGATTTTTCGGACCTCTGAAAACGAGGCGACGATGTGACGTCACAACCCTAACACTGAAACAAGACTATCCCAGACAGAGATGAATAATACATGATTTCTGACAGAGTGAATTAGCGCGAGATCACAGTTGAAAGAATTAATATATCAGTTGCCTCAGTCTCCGTCGGGCGTTTGGTATTTTCTTTTAACTATGGCGAGATATGAGGTTTCTACGTCATAAGATGGTCCGTTTTCAGAAGGTACTATTATTTATGGCCAAAAATAAAATATTCCAGTTAATTTTTCGATCGAATTATGTCGTCAATCATTAGCTATGTATAAAAGGATCATCATAAACATGGTTTGAGTTAAAAGTTCAACTAAGGTGTACACGCCCATTATTCAGAAGCACCTCGGTGTCCTTCATTTACCCTGACTGTATGTGCATTTCCCAATGAATCACCTTGTATATAGGTTGGAAAACATTATATTCGGATTGAAAAAGTGCCATTCACAGTTGAAATCTGGCAATCTATAACTCCAGAATTTGCGATCGGAATAATTCCAGATGATAAAATGATCAATTAGTCCCTTCTCAATCTCGAACTGAAACGGTAAAGTTGGAGCAAAAACTACCCAAACTTTGATTTAATCGAAAGATCATAATGAAAAAATACCGAAGAGGGAATTCATCGTGAAGTTGGGCGAATATAAATCAGCCAGATGGAGGAGAAAAGGATTTTCTGCACCCCAAATGGATTATTGTTTTCACATCAGGATGATGAATTAACATTTTCCATACAGAGGCATCTCATACTTCGCGGTCGATATGTACAAGGTGATTTATGGGGAATTGGCATTCTCCGAACTACAGGTGGTGAAGACCAAAATATGACGATTTAACCTAACATGACTAATAAAGAATGTTGCGAGCTTAGGAGATACAGGGTGTTCAAGGGGCAGATTTTATTCTTCAATTTCTCAATGAATTCGTAAGTAATGATATAGCATAAACATGACATTCTGAATTATAAAGTTAGCGAAGTGACATTGGTATCAAAGCTTTAAACAATGATAAAAATCGCTAAGAACGCCAAAGACAAATAGAATTTTGAAGTTAATGTTTGATTGAAGGAATGGAGGAATTCAAGATGAAATGTTACCCTAAACAACCTGTATCTGTAACATTTTCGTAATGCATTACTATCTGTAGTTCAGAGATTACCCATTTTTGATGAATCACCCTGTATAGGAGATCTTGAAAAATCTTGTAATGATTTTTAACTAGGTCAGTTGAGTAACTTCATGCATGCACAATTTGATGATTTCAAGATAATACTCATAATATACAGCTAAATTAATGAATAACTTAACTAAACACTTCAGTTTTGAGGTGGATATGTTGAAAATGAGAGCTGAACCTCAAATATCCATGAATACTGTTATCCGCAGATCCGTGGATAGGGCAGGTGATGGTAACTCCCAACTGGTCATTGATATGCAGTGTTCAGTTTCAAGAGATCATCCCTCTTTAGCAGTATGATATTCGGAAGATGTCAGACTGAATATTTGTCACTACTTCGCAAAGTAAGCATATCAGTACTTGAAATGTCTTATGAAAAAAATAATTTGTTTTCATTCGTGCTGTCAATGTAAAATGATAAATAGTCAATAATCAATATCCAAATGAACTTATTCCAAGTTCTGCATGAACAAACTGCGTTTTCTCAGGAGTATAAACAATGTTGCTGTCTTAATGGATCGTTGTGGAAAAATGAAATTGTTGTTCCCCAATAGTAGAAGCCCTATTCCTCATCTATATTATTTTTTTCATCTCTTGAAGCGCACGAAAGGCAATTCCTATGTGAAACATCGTGTGTACCTAGGACAGGAGGTAATTACTTCTTAGGAATATTCTAATCGTCAAAGGATTCCAGATTTATAATGAGCCCTATGGTGGTTGTCTTCTCAAAAAATTACTGATAACTGCATGATAGCCTTGTGATATGAAGAATGTTTGCTTCCTCTTGCGATGTTTTTACTAAAGACATATTATTATGTTGTTGCATAATTTCGATATTTGGAATGGCATTCACCCTATCTTGTATTTTCTCACGTGTTTGTACTAAACACATCAGAATTTAATTATCTCTGAAACGTTATCAGGGGTCCCTATGCCTAAAATTTATAGTTTATCGGAATTCCGCTACTCTCATATCAGCATGTTCTAAATTCCACCTACCGCCGATATCTCACCATGAACTTCGAACTTACCGCTAATTAATAAGTGAAGGGAACGGTTGTTCAAATATAGATAGCTTCGTTTTTATTCCTCCGAGAGAATTGTCATTTGGTATAACGAAGTTATTCAACTCCATAGAAGCTAAACATTTCTAAATTTGTTTTCAATCTTCCTGTATAATTAATCACGATATTATGATTGTAGATTCAGCTGAAACATTCAAGCCAGCAGAGAAACTTATTTCAAACGATCAACATCGCAGTCTCTAAGACAATTACAGAATTTTGTGATCGCAAACACATCCAAGGGTTGAGCTACTTTGATGATTTTGAAATAAAAAGTGAGCTTTTAGTCGAAGAATCTGCTACTAAAGTATTGAAGGCTATTTTCGGAACACCCTGTATAGATAAATATCACAAATCACGAAGTGCAAAGAGTTATATGTATACCTACGTTCAGAATGAGATAAATACGTTGAATCAATAAGAAGGATATACCACACTATAAATGGCAGCGCCATACAGTATGTGTCGCGATCTCTGTATCCTACCTTAGAGCTTTGCCACTAGATGGCTACAACATGACTATACCTTCATGTTATACCTTGCGTCTTTGGAATGGGTGATATACCCGAACCGTAGAGTTGTCCCAGTTGTCAGCAGACCGAGAGCCGCTGATGAGACCTGGTGGGTCGAAACAGTACTGTCTCACTCCTGCTGACAATTGGGGCAACTCTGTTCATGCTGAATCTCTAACTGTAAATTGCATATAAGTATCGGCTTGCTAATCTAAGTAATTACTCATGAGGTGATAGATAGGTTTCCGCGGTCGAAAATTTGAAAACTAGGAGTTCGGGTTGAACCGCGTCTAGAATCTGTAGATGTTCGAAGTTTCGGCTATAGTGGTGCCCGCGAGAGTCTCGTTTTCGAGAGTCTCGCATGGTCTCGTCTCGTTTTCGAGACAAGACTCGAGATGAGACTCGGACAAGACAAGACGAGACTTTTATGAGAATTCAGGCTATTGAGCACAGATAGACAAAACATTCCATTCATAAATACTTTGAAAACACAATCCGTGACTGTTGTAAAAAGACGTAATGCGTGCTGGTGAAACGAAAACGGACTATTCTCTCTCTTACGGCGGCGGAATATAAAGGCAATTCTGCAATAACGACAGATCGCAAATTGAATGACTACCTGAAAATCTATAAATGAGTCATTCTGTGCTAAATAGTCTAAGATAAGGAATAACTTTATGTCTTAACGACTGGGCGAAAAACAAAAACATTTGTGATCGTGAAGGCTGATCTGACTGATACAGGTTTTAAAATAATGTTGGATTAAAGTTTTTGTTTTGTTTATTTCTTTAGAATAAACGTGTTACTTTTCATTTTATTTTTATAACTTTCGAATATATATTTTTTTTTCTTGTTTAAATTCATGATGTAAGTATGTACCTATTGGGTACTCACATTTCAATAAATAATGTTATTTTTGTTGTGATTTTCTCTTTCTACTTCTACATTATACCTAAAAGTAGGTAAACGTAAATATCCCGTACTAGACTGGAACAAGATTATGCATGACGAAATTGCGATACATTTGCGAGACTCTCGTACGAGGCGCGAGACAAGACGAGACTCCAGGCTGCGAGACGAGACTCGAGACGAGACTTCATATTTCATCGGCGAGACGGGACAAGACTTTATGGAAGTCCTTTTCAAAAAATGAAGAATAGAAACGAGAAATATATATGAAAATAATGAAGGTGATTTTTCACTGAGGTCTCAATCTGCTTGAGATGGTATCTAGAGGTGAAATAGAGAGAGCGAGATAGTCCCTGTTTCAATATGCGCATTGTTATATGAACTTTGAGTGTTGAATGATTTGATATAGGCAAAATATGGTGACAACAAGAAAAATCGGCTTACCTGTAGACATTGTAGGTAACAATACCTTCACGAACATTCGAAAGCCGTTCGTTGAAATTGCACTGGGAATAAACTTTATTCCACGAGAATTTGAAGTATGATTTTTCAAGTGATGCCAAACGAGATATCAGGCCCTCGACTCAACAGTCGAAGGAAACAACTTCTAGGTGTGACTCAAACTCTCATAGGCAACAAACCCGACAGCCAAATGGAAATAATATTATACGAAGTTCATCAGAATGATTCGACAAAAAATAAAACTATCATAGACCATAGCTTCATGATCCAAACGAGAGCAACATTTATGTGTAAGTCAATTTCTCATAGACGACAGGATTTTCAGCCAAACGCAACTTTCATCAGTAACTCAAACTCTCATAGATAACAGGATTGTCAGCCAAATGGAAGCTACTTCATCTGTAACTACAAATCTCATAGACAATCAACAGGATTGTCAGTCAAATGAATGCGACATTTATGATTTTCGCGGAAGAAAGATTCGTGAATAGTTGAATAATGCACAGTTAATAATGAAGATGATACCTACAAATATCAAAATCTACACAGTGTAGATCATGTGTAACGTAACGTGGTGCTTTCTGCTTGGAAATACTGAGAGATTCTTATTAAAAATTGAATGATAAAAATATGGAATAGTCTCAAAATACAAATGATGTGCAACGTGACGTGATGTTCCCAGTTTGAAAGTTCGGATAAGATTTTCATACAGGCTCCAAGTTCGGTATTCATATCGTCCTAGTTGCTAGAGTTGAACAGATTTCAGCGACCACTTATCACAAATTTGCCATATAATAGTAGATTGTTTCATTTGGATCAAAAGTGACACTTTGTTTGACGAGCGAATTCCGCATTTGCAAAGCAAAGCGGAAGCAGAATCTGCGTGTCAAGAGAAGTCACTTTTGATCCGAATAAAACATGCTATTTTTTCCACAACCGAATCAATGAACTCAAATAAATATGTGAAGTAACCACCAATGCCGTGTCCGTGTGTTGGGAATATTCTTCCTGCATCAACAGCAGGTTTATTCAATTTTCAAGGATATGAGAACTGTATTTTCAATATGAATACAACCACAGAGTGACATATTTGTGTATGGACCAGGTGCTCTAATGGAAAATATCGCGCCAGTGCCAGGTATAGGAACAAGACGTGGAAAAAGTTAGGTTAGTGAGCATATCAACAATAATAATAGCGATAATCCATTCCTCTCCATACTACACTGTGTCTGACTTGATAATCAAATGGAAGTAAACAATATCGTTGTTTGAGACAAAAAACTATTGCTTGCCGTGATTATTTAAAAACAATTTTTCAATCCCGAGAATAACGAATGGAATACAGATCAAGCAAGTATGTGAATCTTGAATGCTTCTCTGATCAAAACAAAAATACTCAACTGAGCTATTTATAATTCCTATACCTTACTATTATAATGAGGTGTATTTATATCTCCAGCATGGGTATGAAATGCCAAATCTGCCGAAATCGGAAACAAATCAGGTATGCGTCTCAACCCAAATAGCCAAGCGTAACAATATTGTTTATTCTTGATGACGTCTAGTACATCCTTACCAGTTCCTAGGAGCTAAACTTCAACTGTAGCTCCTAGGATTTAAATATGTTGCCTAGCAACATACCTATTACTGTGTCAGTAATAGAAACGTCATTTCAAGAGCTAATTTTGATACTGAAATGGACGACTTTTGTATCGGTTACAGGAAGAAACTATCAATGTTTTCTGAGAAATATTCCATAACATGTATCGAGTGGTTTCGGACCGCCAGACTTCCTTTCTGTATACTCAACTCAATTAGCGTTTTGACTTAGACTTAGAAAAAAATGTGATGTTGCTTCTTGATAGTCTATCTTTTTTGTTATGGAAATAGAAAAACAACAAAATGTGCACCGACCCCTAGTGGTCCGGTTTCAAGAGTATCTAATACTTAAGAGAAATTAAAATTGCTACATGCCAAAAAAAAATAAATTTCGCTATCATCTGTTGCTGCCGTAATAAAAGTATAGTGTATAAATATAGCTCTCTCAAACTTCATTCTCGTAGGAAAATAATATAATTCCGTGCTCGTTAAACAATATATTATACCGTTGCATCGAATCAAATCATTAGATGCAGAGTTCACTCGGATAATATTTATTGATGGCGTAGCTTTTATGGTTCCAGCTGCAATCATTTGAATAATTGAATAATCAGTTTTCCCCTTCGATGATTGTTTACTTTGATGATCATTCTAGATGATTCAATAAACACATCGGTATATTATGATCTCGTGCAAGAGCGAACCTATCATGGCCAGCAGGGCATATGCTAAGGACATTTATAACTCAACAGTT